TCCATCAAAATAGGCAGGTTACTTTCAGGGTTCCTGATTTGGAAAAAAATGAATGAACTTGTATAACTGAATTCCACTATTCAGCTTCTAGCATCCAAATAAAACAGTGCAAGCATACTAGTAATAAAGGCATTGACTTTAGAGAGATCAATATTGGGAAACCATACAGTTGATGATGAAGAGGAGAAAGTGTATTCTCCTACAAACCAAGAAAGCTAAAATACAGCACTCAACATGCAGTTTTTGTAAAGAAAAAGGTTAATATAGATACCGGAAAACAACAATGTACCCATCCATTGAGTCACTTGTATGGAGGTGATGACCAATATGAGAGAAGTTGTTCCAACAGCTTCTACAATGCTATCCAATAGTAGTACAAGGGGAATTCCCCATGGAACCATGTTGACCTCGTCTCCTACATACAGATAAAATTATCAGCAAGCAACAAATCTTATAGCAGCGAATGCTTCCATGTATGTTATGAAACTATGTAGTGAGGACAAAAATGTGACACAATCAATTAGTTTAATCTTGATGTGCTTCTGCGTAGATTTTCGTCCAACGTTGCATGAAGTTTTCTTATCTGATAATTGTAGGACCTGACCAACAACATCTAAACACCAACTATACAAATTTTGAGTGCATACTTAGCTGAAAAAGGCCAAAAGAACTCATAAAATCAAAGTGTTTGAATTTAATTTGTGGATACCATCCTAAGCCCTTCTTCAATTAGTATACTAAATTAAGTTAATCATCCACAACTGGGAATCCCTTCTTCATGGTGACACGATCATCATGGGGATTGGAGAAACACCTATTATGTAGATAGACTGCTAACTGGCATGTAATCCCTTCTTCCTAGATGGACGGTAGCTCAGGGTGGAACGGGATAGGCAGACGGGCAACTGAGGTGAAGGAAAAAGTCAAAACAACAATCAAACTGATTTGGGAATTTAAGCGAAAGGAGGTTGCTATAAGAGGAACAGAGTGGGGAATCAGTCAAACCTGGCAAGTAATCCCTTCATCCAAGATGCACGGTAGCTTGGCGTAGAACTGGAGAAGCATAGTGGGAGCTGGGGTGAAGAATAGAGGAAGAACTAGGGCTGGAAGTTTGGTACAGGTATTTGGAATATACCGAATACCATACCGAATTTGTCTATATGTGTGGACAAGGCCAACCTCATGCACCCACTAGCTAAACCGAAATTCAAGAGAGGTAGTCCTAGAGGCTTTGCTATTTCCAATTCACCGAGAGTTCAGCTAGGTGGCGACTATCGTAAACTGCATGGGAAGCGAGCTCCTGGGGAGACATCGCACTCGTCTGGAAGGTTGCCGGCCAGCAATGATAATGATGGCCACCTGCTACGCAACCCCTCCAAACGGCAAACGACTGAAGAGAAGGACGTCCTGATCCAGGAACAAGCCTAACGCCGAAGATTGATCCTCGAGGAGGACTCAGAGGATGATATCTTTGCAGCGAACAAAGCTCTGGATGTGCCTCCCATGCAAACACATAGTAAGAAGGTTCCAATTAAGATCGGCAAGTCTAATCATGGTGCGGGTGGGAGTAAACCGAGACGTAGTGCTTGCATCCTCTCTAGCTATGATGTCGCACGGCACGGAAGGTGGCTTCTCTCCTAGCTGGCCAACCCCATAATGCTACGGTTGCGCGTCGAATGCAACTTGGGGGTAGTGTTAGGCCTCCGCCCAAGGCGAGTAAGAAACCAAGCCTAAGGAAAAAGAAAGGCGGGATGGCCTCCACTGCTGTTCCAGCGTCAGATCATGAGGATATGGAGATGGTTCATCTTGCTGATTATGATGGAGAGCATACCTCTTCTAGGTTGACTCCGCACAGCTCTTTGGCTGCTGCGGCTACTGAGGATTTCCGCGCTTTCATGGAGTCCGAGGACTCTCCATCGGACGAGGATAAGCTATGCTATGAGATTAGACAGAGAACATCTCTAGGAACGAAGAAAATCCCAGCCAATCTGCAAAAGGTTGGGTTAACCAAGTGGTAGCGCCATTTGAAGCGGGGTTGACCATTGCTAAAGAGGATGGCGAGTCTCATACTACCGACTGACAACTATATAGCCGCAGAGTGCAAGGGAAGTCATCTTGGCGCAGGCAATGGGATAACATCGCAGTTGGATGAATATGGGTCCAACATGCCGGTCCACGAGAGTGGAGTCGTAAACGATCAACCTCTTGAAGAGATGGCAAGGGAGGTGGGAGATCCTCCCACGCCGAAAAAAAATTTGTGGAAGCACCAGAAGGTGTGGAAAAGGTGGAGGAAGCCAGTCTTGAGTGCCCCGAAGAAGATAAATGAGGCTACTGACCTGGAATGTGAGGGGAATTGGAACATCACTCACATTCCAAACTGTTGTTGGTTTAGTTCATTCCAATAAACCGAATCTCGTATTTTTTCTGAAACACGATGAGCCGGAGAGTAGTTTCCCATCATATGCGGGGTTTAGGTTTTGATTATTCTTATTGTTTATTTGTTGATGTGATTGACGTATCTGGTGGCTTAGAATTAGCTTGGTCCCTCGGGGTTGACGCTTCGGTGTTCTTTCATTTCAACTTATATATCTGTGCCCAAATTAATGAAGTGTATTTTTCTTATGCTGTGATTTTTTTTTTACATTAGTTGCAAATAGAGCCACCCAATTGGATCATCTTCATGAAATATCCATATTCCCTATGTTGTCATGGGTGATTTTAACACTACTCTTCATGAGGTGAAAACGATGGTGGTCTTTCGTGGAATGTTGCTCGCTCTCTTAGCCTGCGTGATTTTTTCCATGACTTAGGCCTACATGATCCCGGTACCAGGTGATCAGTTCACCTGGACGAACAAACAGATGGGGGCCTCCTGCATTCGCAAGAGGCTGGATAGAGCTTTGTGCTCCCAGACATGGATTGATCTCTTTCCGGATACCCTGGCTAAACCTTTTACGGATCAGGGATCAGATCATCGAGCCCTTCTCCTCTACGATAAGCCATATGCCTGGAATAGTCGGGCCCTTTTCTGATTTGATGCCCGCAGGGTGGATAATCCGGAGATCAAGGCAATGGTGCATTACATCTGGCAGGAGGATGTTCAGGTTACGCCTATGTTTCGACTTTGGGAACACCTTAAGAAGCTCCGCCATTTTCTTTATGTCTGGAGTAGAGCGGGCACTACGAATTCATTGCGTAATATCAAAACCCTCTAGGCTGAAATTGAACAGATAAAATACTCCATCCTATTGATTGAGAGGAGATCCGAAGCTTGGAAATTGAGTTAAATAGACAGTGGGAGGCGGAGGAAGTCTACTGGCAGCAAAAGTCTAGAGTTCGATGGCTGAAGAAAGGTGATAAGAATACATCCTATTTCCATACGGTTACGAGGGCTAGTAGAAAACAAAACTTCGTGTGTGGCCTTCGTAATGACGATCGAGAATGGATCACTGAGGAAAATGGGAAAGCTGCCATTGCCAATAATTTTTATCAGACTCTTTTCACCTCGGAGAACTAGGTGCTAAATATGTCTGATTGGGTAGCTGCTCTTCCCATCGCTCATAATGTTATACCGGAAATAAATGCCAGTCTGACGGCTGAAGTCCTCCCTAGTGAAGTAAGAAAAATGGTCTTTTCCATGGGATCGAAGCAGGCACCAGGGTCTGATGGTTTCACTGAGAAATTCTTTAAGGCTTTCTGGGATATTGTGGGAAACTCGATGATCGAAGCAGTCTGCTCGTTCTTTACGACGAGTACGGTGCTCCGTAACTTTAATCATACTTGGCTTACCTTGATCCCCAAAGTGGAAAATGTGGAGACTATAAGACAACTGCGACCAATCAACTTATGCCAGTTTGTTTATAAAGTTATAACCAAAATCATGGCTGAAAGGCTTGTTGTCCTCTTACCACAAATCATCTCGGATGGTCAAAATGCCTTCATTCGAGAATGACAAATAGTTGAAAATATCCTCAATGGGCATTAGTTAATGCATTACTTGAAAATCAAAACGAGAGGTAAGAAAGAGTACATGGCTCTAAAGGTTGACATGGAAAAGTCCTATGATAGAGTCGAATCGCCATTTCTTCTTGCATTTTTGGACAAGATGGGTTTTAACTCTGTCTGGAGAGGATGGATACATGAATGCCTAAGGTCAACGTCGTTTACGGTTCTCATGAAGGGCACCCCTTCGGGTTTCTTCTCACCCTCCAGGGGTCTCTGATAAGGGGATCCTCTCTCTCCTCTTTTGTTTGTAATATGCACGGAGGGGTTTGCCACGCTCCTTCAAAAAGCCATTCGGAAAAAAAACTTGAAAGAGTAAAAGTGGCCCCTCGCGCTCCAAGAATCTCGCATCTGTTTTTTTGCAGATGATTCTTATATATTCATGTGTGGCTCTCACCAGGAATGCGAGAATTTGATCAAGGTCTTGAATGACTATGCAGAACTTAGTGGCTAGAGGGTAAACTTAGCTAAATCAGCAGTTTGCTTTAGCAAAAATATTGCTCTCCAGAATCAAGAATTCTAGGCTCAGATTCTGGGATTCGGGGCGATGGGGTCCATGAAAAATATCTGGGACTACCAACGCTGATTGGTCGATCTAAAATGGATACTTTTCGATATTTGGAGGAGAAGTTGCTTGAGCGACTTCAGGGATGGATACATAGGACATTATCTTGGGAAGCTAAGGAAACTTTGATTAAATCAATTGCTTTAGCATTGCCATTGCATGTTATGTCATGTTTTAAGTTACCCCTATCTCTGTGTAAGCTCTTCGACAAACATGTTGCCCGATTCAGGTGGGGTGTAGAAGAGGGCCAGTCAAGGATTCGCTGGATATCCTAGCGCAATATGTGCTTTAGTAAACAAGATGGGGGTACGAGATTTCGTCGCTTTGAACATTTTAATCAGGCTCTGTTGGCCAAATTTGGATGGTGTATCCTTTATGAACCCACTCACTTTTAGCCCAGGTTTATAAAGGGAAATACTTTCCGGCTGGGACCTTCCTCACTGCCACGGCTCGCTTCCACCCATCGTGGGGCTGACAAAGTATACTCTATGGTCGACAGTTATTGGAGATGGGGTTAAGATGGCAAATTAGTAATGGTCAGACTGCTTCTCTACTTCATTCCAACTGGGTACCTCGGTTACATTCCTGTCCCTTAGTCTATAACCCCCAGGTGTTACCAGACGGGGGTGACCCACCAGTAGCTGAGGTTATCTGTCAGGGGGAAGGGCATTGGTGTAACTAAAGACTCAGCCAGTGGTTTGACCCGCCTACCTGTTGTGCCATCAAAGCTATTCATCTACCGAATCAAAATCTGGAGGATAGACTGATTTGGCATGGCACGGTTGATGGGATTTTTACGGTTAAATCAGCCTACCATTTTTTTGCCTTACTTGACAAGCGAAGTGGGCGTTGGTGGTCCATGGCTAGTTGGATGTATAAACCTAGTTGGATTCGTTTATGGGATGCTAATATTCCTCCCAAATTGAAAGTGTTTATCTGGAAAATCTTTCAGCGAATCTTGCCAACTACTGAAGCCCTAATAGAGAAGGATGTTCATGTGCTCTTCCCAGATGTCCGGTTTGTTGGGCAGATTCAGAAACAATGGAACATTTGTTTCTCTAATATTGCCCGGTGGCGCGACCCCTTTGGGACTATTTAAGTCTGGAGTATCTTGGTCAAGGGTTGCCTCGTCATACCTTCCCGCTCTTTCTAAAAAAGCTGATGTCATTAATACACCAACCTTCTCTGTTCATGGAGGTTGTTACCATCCTATGGAGGATCTGGCAGTCTCGTAACTGGGTTGTCTTTGAGGGTAAATAGTTTGGGATCCCTGCCTTGATGCGTCAGTTTTACCAGCAATATGAGGAGTGGATAAGCTTGCCGGTAGATCTCACACCTCAGGCTTCCATCCCTTTGGTACAACAATTGGGTCCTAGGGGGACTAATACAGTTGTTTGTATGTGGGATGGGGCTACAAGAAGTGGTCTCATTCGGCTGAGGGATGGTTATTTTGAAACTAGCTAGGGAAATCCTTATGGCTAAGGGGGTTCAAATCATGTTGATTGATGACCCCATGGTGGTCAAATTGGTCGTGCTCTGGGAGGCTATTTTGTGGTGCTTGAGCCATGGCTTCACAGAATGAGTTTCGAAGGAGATGCCAAGGTGACTATTGAGAAGATCAATTGGGCTGATATCAGAGATAACAGGATGGGGGCTATTCTTGAAGAAATCATGCATTATTTTGTCATCCACTCTGGGTTTAGTGTTCAATTTGTAGGTCGACGTAATAATAGGGTAGTCCATGTGGTGGCTAGAAGGCTCTGTCTTTGTACCCGACTATGAGTCGTTTTTTTTATTTCCAGACCTTGCTGATCTCTAGGATGTAACTGCCTATTCTTTGAATCAATATATGATTATCTTTTGTAAAAAAACCTCTTTGTATGGACATCCCTACCTGGCAAGGGACTCGTTTGGATATGGAAAGGATCTGTGTTGAGCTCAAAGCATGTTACCAAAGGTTCATAAATTTCAACTGGCTCTAGATGTGGGTAAAAAAGTCCTTGAGTAAGGAGGAAGATGAAACCAGGAAGAAAAATTTTGAGCCAATTGTTGTGGAAGCTGAAATTGTAAGGAATACGGCAGATTCTGCTGAAGGTGTTATCCCAACTATGGTTATGGATAAGAGGAATAGCGTTGTTAGTCTAAGGTGGTTAGGAATATTCCATTTCAAATGGCTATTTTTAACCCTTGCCCTGTGGCTACTGGTAGTATTATGCGAGGTCCTGTTGCGAGGTACTATTGTGGATGCTGATGGTTTCCAACTTGTCAAATGCATAAGGAAAAGTAAGAGTGGCAATCAGGGTTCCAATAGTGGTCAATGTTAGGGATGCAATCTGTTGCACTACTAGCACCTCAGTAGTATAAAAAATTAATACCACAACCTCGCTCTTCATCTAGTCAACAACAAGTTTGTCGAAAATTTGCTCCTCCCTTTCCTCCTAAGGGTAGAGAAAGAGGTAATAAGAAAAGGTAATATGAATATATTTAGCTGGAACCTCAGAGGGTTTAATTCCTCCGAGAAGCAAAGAATCTTATTAGCTAAAATGAATAAATTGTTCATAGGTATAGTAGTTGTTTTGGAGAATAGGGTGTTAGAAAAGAATAGCAGGATATAGGCAAATGAATTTTTCTCTAAGTGAGAACATATGAATAATTGCAACCATTATAGTTTTGGTCGAGTTTGGTTATATTGGAAGTCAGGTTTATACTTGCCCACTTGCAGAAGGTTGATACAAACATGAAGAGGCTGGATCAGTTTGTTCCTCACACCACCAATAACTTTGAAGAACAAAAGGTGATAAAAAAAATACCAAGGTTCAAGAAAGCGCTAGGCGTAAGGCGAGCGTTGAGACTCTGCCTTGTGTCTAGCATGCTTAGGCGCCGCATAGGAGTGCCTAGCGTTAGATGTAGAATGTTTGGTAAAGGTTCCAAAAGGAAAAGTGAAGAATGTTTTGGCTAAGGAGGAGATTCGTCTTTCCAGCAGGTTTTGTAATCTTGGATAAGGCGGAAAACAGAAAGGTGCCACTCATTTCGGGAAGACAACCATACCTACTGGAGATGTGGAGGTAAACTGACACTTTGAGTGGGTAAAGAAGAGGTGAGTTCCAAGTCAATCAATTTCTGGATACATCATATAAAACTGGAAGTTAAATTCAGGAAAGAAAATGTACCTCTGGCTTAGAAAAAGTTATGCAGAAATGTCCCAAGCCATATGTGGAAGATGTGAATGTGGTATTACAAATATTTGGGTAAAGATTTCAATCTTCTTGTCATTTTTTATAAGGGTGTTATAGGTTTACTTTTGTGATTTAAGTACTACTTAAGGGATTCAAACCTGGGACCTCCAGGTTCAAAGGCTACTGATATTACCACTTGACCAAACCTTTGTTCGTTATTCCTTCTTCACTACCTAAAAGACTGGATGAGTACTTGCTTGAGGGGCTTCAATACCACCTACACCTCACTGAAGGATCAAACAAGCAAATGAACAAGGTCATCCCCAAATTTTGTACACCTAGCTTAGTAGAGATAGCTCATATGTTGGATGGTGGTTATACTTTTTATCATTGTTTGGATAGGTATTCTAGAAACCTATTGATTGTCATTGGTTGAGAGCTGCAATATTGTGAAGCTCAAGACTTGAAACAAGCGCTTTTGTGAGGCAACCCAATGTTAGTTTTTATTTTGGATTAATAACTTAAATTAGCCAAACTATACACTAATATACTAATTTGGCCCCTGGTTTCTGAAATACCTATCCCGACCTAAACTATTCACTATATAGACTAACTTGTCCGAACCCGTGGGTTGACAATCAAGTAAGACGGTCAACACCGTTGCTAGTGGTCAACATGCCATGTCAGCATAAAAAATTTAAATATTTATTTTAAATATTTGTCCTATCTAGGGATGGCAAAAATATTTGCAACCGGGGATATCTGCGCAAATCCGACCTAAATGGGTAGGGTAAAACTCGAGCTTGAAGAATTTTTAGTAGGTACGATTAATACTCGGACCCGAATATTGCGGATAATGGGCGGGTATGGTTTTCTCACTATCTAACCCAAACCCGCTCGATTATACACAAACATATATTTTTTTTTTCAAGAAATACTCATTATTTTTGTTATTATAATTTATATTTAGTATACAAATATAATATTTCATGTAATTGTGTTGTTTGAAATTAATTTTCTTTATTCTAGTGAATTATTGTCGTACTTTTCCACTTATGTAATGTGAGCATATGTGTGAATGTTAACATGCTGGTTGGAGTTATAAAGAGAAATTATTACTCATGGATAAGTGTGGATACCAGAAACTCGAGCGAGTATGGGCATGGTTTTGATTTTCTACCTGATTCTTACGTGAGTATAGATGGATAAACCCAAACTATTTTTGATAGGATAACGGATATGCACTATCCGTCCATCACCCACCCCGTTGCCATCCATAATAATATCTACTAGGTAGCGATGCCGCACCTTGTCGCGGACGGAGATGGCCTATGAGCATGTATTATATGTCCCGTTATGATGTTTTGTTAGGATTATTAGCGTAAAAATAATTTTTTATTTGCAGTTTTGTTAGTAATATTGGCTTGACCATATGATATTGACTAAGAAGAGAAATATGACGGTCAACATCCAATTTAAAATTTTTTGGCTTGTAAATGATATTTACCTAAACCCAAGTAGACCCATTGATTATATGTTGGTAATGGGTGACGTATATATGGGTTTGGAAGTTTGTAGATGGGTTTGGGTAGGGTTTGGATATTTACTTTGATAATCTAAATGTGTATGAATTGGGTATGGATACCCATTTATTCAAGAGCGTTTAATTACACATACAAAATTTAAACCTATTTGTAGAACTTTAAAAGTTTAGGTACCAAAATGTAACACACAAAAATTAGGTACTAAAATGATGTTTCATCAACATTTTGAGGACTCATATGCAAAAAAATAGATTTAGGTTATAAATCTAAAGATCTATGAAGTTTAGTGTCAAAACTGTGATTTGCATAGTTGAGGTTTAATTCCTTTTACGGTGATGTATTTAAGATGATAGTCATTTACTTTTTTTTATAGAAAAATAAAACTATTTATTTTATATGTGTAGATACCTAGACAAACATTACATGTATAATTGTTGAAAATTCTACCCCAGGTGGCAAAGAAAAACTATATAGAGAAGCAAAACGAATACAAATCGGAACTCGCTCACAATTTCACGCCCTCAAATCTCATAGTGAAAAATGACGACTTTCTAGTAAGTAATAACCATATTTGTTTATTTTTTAGTGGAATGGACATTGAGCTGAAAAAGTTAGTGGTTCATAGTTCAATTATTAGTTCTCTAGACTATTGGTGAGTCGTGTATGGACCCGTTTATACTTGTGATTAGAATACATAAAAATAGTATACTAATTAGGGTTAGACGAAGAAGGCAAAGAAAGAAATAAAGAAAGGGTTATGGTGGGCGAGTGAAAAATGAAACGAAGAAAAAGTAGATGATAGAAAGGTTTTGAAAATTTCATTTAGTTGAACGTCAATATATACAACAATCAATCCTTTTCACCGTAGCAATTTATTGACACTTGCTTATATAGATGTGACATATTTTGTTACATGTAGTTAATAGAAGTTTGTTTAGTACCCCGTAAATGTACTAAATGATTTTATAAATTCGCTCATTTAATGTTTTAGAGTCGTCTCTCTTTAATCATCTATTTAATGATTCATGTAATTAGCAAATATAAAATGGTCGAATTTCTCCTACGGTTGAGTGATACAACATCTTGTATTATACAAACTAAATTTATACTTTTATGTTATGATGGATTGGATTTAATTGGTTCAAAAGGATTGGTGGATTGGATTCATGGATTCAAGTGAAATATAAACATTGGACTAATATGTAAATCTAAAATAAAATGTAGGTATGAAAATCTCATAAAATTTAGATAACAAAACATAATTGTTCAATGATTTTACATTAAAATTAAATTTGGGTATCAAAATGTAAAATGTACTTTATAATGACTAAACTGTGATTTAGTTAAATTTGGGTATCAAAATATAAATAACTAGGAATGAGCCCGCGCTCCGCTGCGGGATATAAGTTAGTTTTGGAATAAGATTGTTCATTAAGTATTTATTTTTGTAGTGTAGAGTTTTCCGATGAATAGATTCGTATACTAATATTGTTCAGCATTGCAATTTAAGTATTCCCAAAAGTCATATTTGTTTGATCCACAAAAAGGCTACCCAACTATCCAAACTTCATTTGAAACGTAAATTGCCAAAAAATAGTAAAATCCCTCGCATCCTTATGGGCCGTTTACTTGCCATTCCATTTCTGTTAGCTGCCACAATAGAAAACAAAATTAAAATGAAAACGAAACTGTCATTCCCTGAAAAACAAAACCCGAAGAAACCTTGTTTAGCTGGGAATTTTGGTGAGTTCTAAAATGATTTCTAAAAATGAAAACCTGTTTAGTTGTTTCATACTGTTTTCTGATAACTGATTACTACAATTTTGTTTATTGAGTATCATACAACCCTAATCATGATATTAGGGTAGCTACCAATTTATGATATGGAAAGTGAGGCAAAGGTATTCACCAATTCATGATACAATAGAATTGGAACATAATATTTGGGATGATTTATATATCAATAAACGCTGCATTGGAAATAAGCATTAGGAACATAGAATCTACTGACGTGGTTGCAAAGACACGTTAAGCTATGCTGCAAAGAATCCATTGGCGGTGACGATGATGCTGTTGATTGGGTGATTCATGTGAATGTTGATATTTGCTTGGACTATTGGTGAGGCTGATTGTGGTTGGCCACAGAAAGGATGGTAAACTCCAAAGGGGTTTGAGCTAAATAGCCAGGTTTAGGGAGCTGAACGTCAAATGAAAACCAGCGTCCGTTCATGGCAACAATTTCTGGAGGGCAATGCCCATGCTATTGAGGGTAACGCGCCGACAGTTTGTCAGCAGTAAGTCCAAGTAAAAACTCAGCAGTCCTCCCAAGCATGATAAAGCATGCAGAACCTGTACTGTCTCCCACTGCCAAATGGATTTTGTAGCTGAGAATGTGTATAAGAATTTCAGATTTAGCTGATCGTGGACATTGCAATGAAAGAAATAGTTTTGTGTTAGACAAACCATTTCTGGGTTTCCTGAGGTAACAACTGGCCATGCTCATCACACCAAAAATCAGTAGTACCAGGAAACTCTTTAGCTGTTTTGGAGCAAAATGCACATCCCAAATAAAACCATGGCCGGGAAGACTGAGCGGAGAGGACCTGTGCTAAGCAATGGTAATGCGTAGCCTATAAGTAAATAAAGCAGGCAAGCAAAGTAAGTTAGGCAAGGAAGTACTTTCTTGGTTTAGGGAAAATGGAATTACACAAACGGTTGCATCAATTGGGCAGCTAAAAGAAAACAGACAAACAAATAGGTTAGGTATTATAAATTAGCATGTTATGCTTGATCTCAGTATGGATGCATGAAATGCAGTTCTGGTAGAAAAAGGTTTGTGTAAGAAGCACGTACATCAACCATTGATGGGTTGCAAAGGTGGATCAGGTCCAGAATTTTTTTGGTACTGTCAGCCTGGAACAGGTGTTCTTCAAAAGAGGTCGAGAACCACAGAGGATAGTATTGAACTGTATCATTTCCACCAGGAGAGCTATACATTGGGGAAAATATTAGATAAGGAAAAAGTAAATTGTTGAAAAGTTTCATTGGAAGCAACTTACGCAGAGCTCAAAATATTTGCCAAATCACAAGATGGTTCTAGCACAAAGCGTGTTGCAGGGGTGCTGGTCAAAAATATGACGTCTTGGAAAAACAGCGAAAAGGTAGGTATCAATACACGATAAAATAGATAAGTCAAACCATTAGTTGTCAGGTCGAAAACTGTGATCTAACCTGTTGTTACTTCACTTATCTGAAGACTACATACACCTAGCACAACAGAACCAGAACGGCCAAGGTATGCTAGTTCTTCCCCATCTAGAGATCGTGAAACATCGCCACAGATGGTGATATTAAGTCGTACATGCCTGCAAAAGTACAGCGAAACAAAGACAATGAAAAAAGAGGAAATAAAAGAAAACAAATGAAGGACTGGAAAAGTAGACAATTGTAATGCATCGAAAACCTCTCGTTTTGTATGACCAGCTTGCGCCTAATAATAGCATGAGCAGAGGTTACTGAGCATGACAGACCAGCTACGGACACAACTTTGCCCGCAACATCTACATTTGAAGAGGTTGGCAAACATAGTTAGCTCGCCAACTGTAATGGTTAAATTGAAGCGGAGTTCATGAGTTTAAAGTAGCTCAGTAGGTAAACCTATTCGCTGGTTTGCTGAGCGAGGTAAGGAGCACAATGAGTTGAAGGCAACAAACTCAAACGAATTAGCACAAAACCAGGCGACATCATGGTCACATTGTCAAATATGGTTTCTTGAGAAAGAACCAAATTCAATGTATGGGAGCAAGGACGCCACATCGTTTGTGGTTTTTGTAGATGGAATCTAGCAACTAAATATACACAGCCCAGTTGCAGGATTATGCGAAAATGGGCAGCTAAATTTGATGGGGCAACAACTTTAATCAATGTTCCCTGTGAAATTAGGTAGCAGGCGAAGCAATAGAGACGACTCAGGATCATAAATGTTAATGGAAAATAGAAAAACTGAAAGCAAATAGCGTGTTAACTTCGCATCGGTCCAGAGGCTTCAATATGGGTTTTCTAGGTTCTCAGATACCCAAACATGTAGGAGTCGTAATTTCAGAATAGTTTCTAGGTCTTCAGTTCCATTAAGATCAAGAAGCAGCTTAGGAGTAGACATCGCCTTTCTGTGAGGAAATAGAGGAAGAAGGTTAAAGTGAGAGTAAGAATAAGAAAGGTGGAACAGCAGTAGCGTTATTCTTCTGGTGAGGCAAACAGAAAATTCGGGATATAGAGGAAGCAGCCACAGTAAAAATTAGGGTGGGAAGTAGACGAAACGAAAGGAAAAGAGGAAAGAAAGGGGATAAGATCGGGTACAATTGCAGGGCTAAAGGCCCAGATGGAAGAGCCGGGTTGTATTTTTTAG